AAAGAACTAGGTTTGTACCTGAATTTCAATAAGGATTAGGGAATAAGAGTAGGCAAAAGCTATGGCTCCAAGAGCTTGAAAACTTCTCCAAACCTTTTGCATCTCGGTGACCGAGCCTGAGGCGGTGGCCGTGCCGATGCTTATTCCGGTGAGACTTCCCCGGAACTCGCCGGTTTCTGCAAAAAAATATTTTATAATAATTCAGACAAAAGCAAAATCTTGTCCAGACAGTTAAAAGATAATCCTATAATTAGTGACTATGGGAAAATAAAACGGATTTATTTTTTTTAACCTGCAACTTTTGCTATGCCAAGGCCTAAGCCAATGGTTGAATAAGTAAAAGACATAATTGCAGCCACAATTGAAAGCCACCAAATCTGATCAAAGTCTGGGATTTGTGAGAGGATTATCTCAATAACACCAAATGCAATCATGTAGGGATTGCTTGAAACTCTGCAGGTACTATTGTCTCCCTTTGAATGGAAACAATTAGACCTCTCAATTGCCCTGTTACATAAGATTTTAAAAAAATCAGTTATGATAATAAGATAAACTATTTACAATAGGCATAGTTATGCCAATAATAGTAATTGAAGTTGGGGAAAACACTTCATACACCTTTTATTCAATCTAACTATTAGACGATCGATTCTGTAATAATTGTTTTTAATAAAAATGTATACTTATGCTATGAGATGTATTTTTTTTTTTTACATTGTTTTATATAAAGTATGACATTTCACTTTAAAAAATATCCCGTGAAAATCATGTTCTTGATTTACTAATATTACATCCTGAAGATTTGATTATCAAAATTGGTTATACAGATGACTTTGACTCAACAATCATATCATGCCAATAAAAAATGTATACTTTTACCGTTTACTACTACATTGGCATGTTAATTTCTTGAAATGTATTAACATAAAAATGTGAAATTTATATATAAAAAAATGTACTATTTATCAAACCTCATGGAATTCTTGTAATTCAAGATGTTTTAAATATGAAAACAAAAAGAAAAGCCTTAAATATGAAATCTATGCTTACATCATGCTTATAGATGAAGCAATTGTGTACCCAATTGCAACACCAAAAAGATTCACATACTGAATTGCCCCACAGACCTTAACTTTAAACCCACCTGAAATTTCAAAGAAAAATCACAAAACTAAAGTTTTTCAGAATTTTATCAACAAATAATAATAATAATAATAACAATAAGACCAAACTTTACCTAGGTTGGCCCTAACAGCATCCGTGTAAGTGTAATTTCTTTTGCCGTTGACCGGGTCGCCGGACCGGTAACAGGCCGCCAGTAGGGTCGAAGTATAGTACGTCACGAACGAGAAAATGAAGAGCATAATTGGGCCTGCGACCCAACCCAACTGGGCCGTGGCCCAAGCCAGCGAAAGAACTCCAGAACCAATTACGGCTGTTATGATATGAGCACTCGCCGTCCAAATAGTTCCTATCCAAGCAAAAAAAAGGGTGGAAAAAAAGAATCTTTATATATATATATATATATATATATATTTTAATCATTGATTTTTAAGTTGTATTAATTTTGTTTATACCTCGTATATTAATTTGTTATTTATGATTTTGATTTTAAATAATCGCATATTTTTATAACATATACTAAATATGTAAAAGGGCTTAAAAAACAAATATCCAACATAAAAAAAATCCTTATGTTAAATTAGAATTTTTTAAAACAAAAAGGAAAATTACCTGTTCGTTTGAGCTTGCCATCATCATCATAAGACTTAGAGCTAAGCTCAGGAGTTATGTTAAGGGCCACATCAAAAACTTGGTGTTGTCTTGTTCCTGTGCTATC